GGCACTGCCCAGTGAGGGAGGGAACTGTGTGGTATCAGCAGCTGGTATTCCCAGGAGCTGGGCGTATTGGTCCCAAGAAGGGTCTATTAGGAGTGCTGTTAAACAGCACACACCTGTGCTCTTTTTGTTTGCTTTTGTTTTCAAGACAGGGTCTCTTGGCTATTCTGGAACTTGTTCTGCAGATCAGGCTGATCTCAGACTCACAGAAATCTGCCTGCCTCTGCCTCCCAAGTGCTGGGTTTAAAGGTGTGCATCACTACACTCAGCCAAACCTGTGATCTTAACACTCAAGAGGCCAAGGCAGTCTGGACTACCTGGAAAGACCTTGTATTGCTCCTGGACCCAACTCAACAATCATTACCATAGCCAAAAGTCTTCAGTCCAGTGTCTCTAGATAACTTTTGAGTTATCCAAGTAGCTCAGGCTATCACATTACATATGAGAATCACTGAAGAAAACCAGACAGATAGACCTCGATTTGAATCCACTTAGTCACTGTGTGGTCAGCACGAGTCAGTATTTTCATCTGTAGACTGGGATCTGTGGTTCTTAATGAGGAGTTTTCTCTAACTTTTTAGTGACCTTGACTGAGATCAAACTAGGATTCATGGTTTTTTTTAAAAAAATTAATTTATTTATTATGTATACAATATTCTGTCTGTGTGTAAGCCTGAAGGCCAGAAGAGGGCACCAGACCTCTTTACAGATGGTTGTGAGCCACCATGTGGTTGCTGGGAATTGAACTCACGACCTTTGGAAGAGCAGGCAATGCTCTTAACCACTGAGCCATCTCTCCAGCCCATAGGATTCATGGTTTTGACACAGAAAAGAATTTCAGTATGCGTTTAATCCCGGCACCAGGGAAGCTGATCCGCTTGATCTCTGTTCAAGGCCAGCCTGGTCTACAGAGCAAGTTCCAGGACAACCAGGGCTAATAGAGAAACCCTGTCTGGCACTACTCCCTAGAAAAAGACAGGGTCCCACGATATATCCCTGGCCACCCAGCAACTTGATGTATAGACCAGGCTGTCCTCAAATTCACAGAGATCTGTCTGTCCATGCTGGAATTAAAGGAATGTGTCACTATACTCACTGAGTTGGAGATTTTATTAAATATTTTTAAATTATTTTGCTTTTTGAGACAGAGTCTCACTTTATAGCTTCTTTCTGGTTGTCCTGGAAGTCACTACGGAGACTGAGCTGATCTTAAATGCAGAGATCCACATCCTCTGCCTCCCAGTGCTGGGTTCCAGGTATGTGCCACTATGCCTGGATAGTAGATACGTTAGCTGGGTGTGGGCTTCTCAAATAGAGAGTCACAGAAAGTAAAGCATACTTAGGTGTGGGTGTGGGTTCCTTACAGGAGAGTCATAATTGTCTGAGCGCTGGTTAATATGTGCATTTTCTGTGGTGCTCATGTTATATCTCAAAAGGTTGCTATAGAAACTCAACAATTTCTTTCTCTCTCTTGGTAAGCAAAGTTACAGCAGCAGGGGATTATTATAATAACCAGCAGAGGATGGAATTATAATCTGATAAAGTACAGCCAGGAGCCACCGAGGTTGTACAATAGTGTCCAGTTAGAGTCCTAGAAAATGAAGGTTTTTTAGCTGGGAGGAGATGAGAGCCTTAAGCAATTGCTAATTGTCTTGGGCTCTTGCTGCTTGGTTGTTGAGACGCTCCAATTAGAATCCTGGGTGAAGGGCTGCTTTTCCCTCTCGGGCTCCCTTACTGGCACCCGACGTGATGGACTAAACCCACTTAAAAAACCTGAGAAGGCTTAAAAATAAGGGAGAGAGAGTTTAACACAGATTTTTGCTGTTTGTTGGTGGCGTGCTGTAGAGAGATTTCCTGATTCGGCAACAGCAGCAGAAAAAACGCTGTGTCATTTTAAAGCGCAGCTTCTTGGGGCTGTGCTCCCAGCGTGAACTCTTTAAAGCATTTGTGGCACTCTGCTTGCTAGAGGCAAGCAAGCGCTCTCATCTAAGAGAAGCTTCCTGACTCAGCTTTAGCTGCAAAACCCTGCAGCTCATTAAGAGGTCCTGCCACGAAACACTTAAATGGTGTTGACGAAAAGCTGAACACATGCTTTTCGGTTTTCAGCCGTAGCAGGAAAAAAGCTGTGCCGTTTAAAAATGCCGGCTTTCTGGGCTGTCCTGCCAGGACAAACTCTGACTCTTTTACACAGGCGGTCCGTGCGGTTCGCAAGCACAGGCTGCTGAAGCTCACTTGCTGGCAGGGACCTTGAAATGCCATAGAGTTGTGGCAGTAAACATGGCTACAGCCAGTACCTCAGCCATGAGTCTGGAAAGCTAAGGAATGGGCTGGATCCAGCCGTCAAAGCCACGGCTTTAGTCCTACTGAGATTGCTTGGTAAATTAAAGACTCATGTGGTCAGAAAACAGAGATACAGTAAAGAGAGCGTTAAAGACAAAGAAAATTTTTAAATGGTTTACAGTGTGTTAAAAATATATGCATGCTAAACATTAAAGTTCTTAAAGTAAAAAACAAAAAATAAGGAAGAAAGAGAGTTGTTGGGTGTGGTAGTACACACCTTTAATCCCAACACTTGGGAGGCAGAGGGAGATTGACCTCTGTGACTTCAAGGTGTGGTAGCACACGCCTTTAATCCCAGTGTCTAGAAGGCAGAGACAAACAGATCTCTATGAGTTCAAGGTGCAGTAGCATACACCTTTAATCCCAATGCCTGGGAGGCAGAGTCAGGCGGATCTCTGAGAGTTCGAGGACAGCCTGGTCCACAGAGTTATTCCAGGTCAAAGATATACCGAGAATATAAAATAGAAGTAAAAAGAAACGAAATAGAGGTTAAAACAAAGCTGTACAAAGATGGAAAATAGAGAATTTTGATACTGTATGCTATTATGCTCTCTTTGAATTATTTGAATGCGGAGGAAAGAGCAGCAGCTGCTAAAAGATATTTATTTATAAATGCTGCTAAACTAATCCAACATAGATATTTTGATGCCTTGACTTTGAAATTTGGATCTAAGGACATGATGCTTTGGAAAGGAGTTTCTTATTTTGTTTTCACAGAGGATGAGACCCCGTTCATTTCTTCTATTCCGATTTGGTATGATGGACCACGCCCTCCTGAAGGGTTGGTGTGAACACCTTCAGAAAATTGCTTCGCTCAACTGCCAACTGAGATGAAACTAGCACACAGGTTATACCATGAAAGACCTAATTAACGACGCCCCCATTCAGCAGGAAGCAGTTTGGAGAGAAAAAACTGCGTCCATGTTCCCAAAAATGTTTACAAATGTTCTTTTACATTTAAAGGGGGATATGATATAGATATGAATAATTTGCATTAGTATAGATTTTGCTTTATTGATAGAGATTTATGGTCAATTTTGTTATATGTATTTCTGATATTGATTAAGGTATTGTGATTGTGTAGTTCATTATTAAAATGTAATGTATAATTAGGAAATATAGGTTGTTGATGGATAATCATAAATAATAGTCAAGTTTTTAGTCATGTTAGTTAATATTTTCTAGATGTGCGTAGATATATTTTAGATAGGCATTCTTCATATTTTTCAAAGATTATAGAATATGGCATTTTAAATGTTTTAATAACTTAGGACTTTTCATGACAATAAGACACTCTGCTCCTGGCAGCACCAATCTACTTCAAGAGGAAGATGGGCATTGAAGAGGCTCGTTATGGAGTTTGATAGCCATTTGGGCAAGAAACTGTTCTTGCCTGGACTATTGCATAAACTGGACACAGAGAACCTGCAGAGAGAGGACTACTGAACTTGCCTAAAGGTGAGATGATCTTTCGGGGTTCCTGATTCATGAAAGAGTCTGCGAGACATTCTGCAGGACACAACAGATAGTGACTGAACTGACTTTGAATTTTCCTGCTTTATGGAAATGTCTGCTGGATACCATGGGCCTGAAGGCTGAAGATGGATGCCCCAACAGTACAGAGGAACTTTGGGTGACTGTCCAGGCAGCGAGATGTCTCTGTCATTTCTAGAGTTTTAAAAGTTGCTTTTTTCTTGTTTGCTTAGGTAGTATTGTATCTTTCTGGAGTCTTTGATGGAGTTAAGAATAGTTAGTTATAGTTATAGTTTTCCTTAGTTATGATAAAGATTATTGTAACTTTTACTTGATAACTGTTTTGTTATATGTAATTTTGCTATGTTAAAGTTAAAGCCTTTTTTTTTTTTGTTTAAACCGAAAAAGGGGAAATGATGGAGGAAGGTCATTGGTTAAATAAAAATAAACTGCTTGGCCCTCATTGGTTAGAAGATAGGTGGGAGAAGTAAACAGAACAGAACGCTGGGAGGAAGAGGAAGTGAGCTCAGACTCCACAGCTCTCCTCTCGGGAGCAGATGCCTGAGAGAGATGCCATGCTCCCAGCTCCCAGGCAGATGCATGCGATGAAGCTCCGACCCAGGATGGACATAGGCTAGAATCATCCCGGTAAGACCGGTGCTCACAGATTATTAGAGATGGGTTGATCAGGATATCAGAATTAGCCTGTAAGGGCTAGAGCTAAAGGACCAAGCAGTGTTTAAATGAATACAATTTGTGTGTTGTTATTTCGGGCATAAGCTAGCCAGGCAGCCGGGGTGCTGGGGACGCAGCCCCGCCGCCCTTATTACTACACCTTACTTTGCCTTTCTAGCCTACCTCAGCACTACTTTACAGTGTTGTCTTCAAGACAAGAGAACTCTGTGCGTGGAGGGTCCCCCCCCATCACCACAGGGGAAGCTAGTCCATGAGGAATGGGGGTGATCGCGAAGACAGGGCCTCACCAGCCTCATACACTCTAGCATCTGCCTGTCAGATAGAGCCTTTTTTTCTAGGTTACACGTGTCACAGCAGTAACTATTATTTCAAAGCTGAGATAATTGGTTTTAAAGTCTCTCCCTTATCTCTTCCTCTGCAGGCATTAATTGTGTGTGGAGCAGTTGTGTATCTGAGCAGATGGAGGGAGCAGTGAACAGAGACAGGGGCCCACCATGGCTCGCGCTCTGAGTGAAATCAGGACCCACCTCCAGATCCGGAGCCTCGAGTTCCGACAGTGCCTCGCAGAGTTTCTGGGTGTATTTGTGCTGCTGGTAAGTGGGGTAACTGCGGGAAGTGAGGGTCAGGGTTTCTAGCTCTTCTTGGTGTCATTTTCCCCTGGTAACCCACTCACTTCCTTTCGCCCCAGTTTCTTCTCTTTTCCTTCTCTCAATCTCTTCTTTTCTCTTTTACTCCCTCATCTTGTTTTTAAGGTCTTGCTCTGTATCCTAGGCTGGGTCCTTCACAAACCTCCCAGCGTAGCCTATTTTCACTCTTTTGAAAGTTTTCTTATTTCTATACTTACCTGGCAGAGGAAAGGCCATGACCACGAAGGTGATTTTCTCAGGGCAAGGCACCCCGGATGTGCTAAACCCTGAGATGTCCCAAAATGTGGGAAACTCAACAACTCAACTCTGTAATTTGTAATAGTGGTAACTCTGTTCATGCTGTCTCCTAAAGAAAAAAGAAATTACCTATTTTCTTACTATGTAACCTTGGCTGGTGTGGAACTTGCAGACCCTCCTGTGAGTGCCGAGACAGGGCGTGGCACCACCACTACCACCACCACCACACACACACACACACACACACACACACACACACACACACACGGCTGCTCCTTCTCCCTTTTGATTTTCCTCCTCTCATCCCTCACTTTTCTCCAATTCTCCTATTTCCTTCTTTCTGAGTCTCTCAAATTTGTTCACTTTTCCTGGTGGTTCCCTGCAGCTGTGCTCTCTCTCTCTCTCTCTCTCTCTCTCTCTCCCCACTTGGTCTCCTGGGTGCTCCCTTCCCCCATCGCCTCTCTCTCCACCAGCTCCTCACTCAGGGTTCTGTGGCCCAGTCTGTCACCAGTGAAGAAGACAAAGGCAACTTCCTTACAATGCTTCTGGCCAGCTCTCTGGCTGTTACAATAGCTATCTACATGGCAGGCAATGTCTCAGGTGAGTAGGGTGGGGCCTGAATGTGGGAATGAGTGGTGGGAAAGGCAGGTACTTTTGATGACTCAGGGCATGGGCATTACCTCCCTGAGCTTGGCCAGTGCCCGGGACTGAGATATGCCTTGGACCTCATCAAGTTCCTCTCCTTCCAGCTAACTTCCCACCAGGTCTTCTGTTAACTTGACACAATCTAGGGTTATCTGAAAGGAGGAAATTTGTTGAGACAACACTTCCATAAGATCTAGCTGTAAGGCATTTTCTTAATTACTGATGATGAGGGAGGGCCCAGTCCATCGTGGATGAACCATCCCTGGACTGGTGGTCCTGGGTTCTATAAGCAGGCTGAGCAAGCCATGGGGAGCAAACCAGTAATCAGTACACCCCTCCATGGCCTCCGCATCAGCGCTGCCTCCAGCTTCCCGCCTTGCCTGAGTTCCTGTTCTGACTTCCTTTGGTAGTGAATGAAGCGTGATGTGAGCCAAACCCTTTCCTCCCCAAGTTGCTTTGGTTATGGTGTTTGGTCATAACAACAGAAATCCCAACTAAGACTCCTTACAGCAGCCTCCTACCTGGCTTAGGTGGAAATCTATAGCAGAGCCCTGAGGATAATCACTGGTAGTTTGTGTCTCATGCCTGAAGCCTTCATCTCTGCTCAGGACCTCAGCAGCTTGTCTCAGTACATACCCTGTTAGCACGCCTGGCCCTGGCCCCGAGACACAGTGTGCTGCAGGGGAACCAGGAGGTCTGCTCAGGTTCAGAACCCGGGGTCACCTAGAGAAATGTATGCACGTCTGTGCAAGGGCATGAGGTGCCTGAAGAGAGCATGGGATCCCCTGGGACTGGAGTTACAGATCGTCTGGAGCTGCCACATGTGTGCTGATAACCCAAGGTCCTTTTCACGAGCAACCAGTGCTCTCAGTCACTGAGCCATCCCTCCAGTCCCCGAATCATTATCTTTTTGAGAACTAATTGTTTAAACTGAATGATGGAGATGAGCATTGCAGGGGAAAGCCTGCGGCTGTAAGAGGGTTGGCAGTGGTACCTAATCCTGTCTCTTCCCATTGCAAAGGAGCCCACCTAAACCCAGCCTTCTCTCTGGCCATGTGCTTGGTAGGACGCATGCCCTGGGCCAAGCTCCCCATCTACTGCTTTGTGCAACTGTTGTCTGCTTTCTGTGCCTCAGGAGCGACCTACATTCTCTACCACGGTAACAGAGGAACACTGCCAGGGCAGTTGCTGTGGGCAGGGCTGCCTCGCAGTGGTTAGGGATAAACACAGACAGAAACTCTTGAGTCTCTTTCTCTCTCTCCCTCTCCCCCTCTCTCCTGAAGATGCCCTCCAGCACTACACAGGTGGGAACCTGACAGTGACTGGTCCCAAAGAGACAGCCTCCATTTTTGCCACCTATCCTTCCCCCTATCTGTCCCTGAACAATGGCTTCTTGGATCAGGTGAGTGTGGAGGGAAGGGCCTGGGGCACTGAGTCCCAACCTTTGCCTTGTTTTCTGGGACTCCAGCCCATTATAAGGTTAGTTCTACCTTGGTATCCCTAGCTTCTGTTGGGCAGACAGCACGGAGGCAGTGGCATGAAGAGTGGGAGGGGGGAGGGAGGGAGGAGGGAGGGAGGGAGGGCGGGCAGGTGAAGCACCTGCCTGGCCATTGATGGATTTCCTCCTACCACCATCACAAGGTTCTGGGCACCTGGATGCTGATTGTGGGGCTGTTCGCCATCCTAGACAGGCGCAATAAAGGAGTGCCTGCAGGTCTGGAGCCCATGGTGGTGGGACTGCTGGTCCTTGTCATCGGACTAGCCATGGGTTCTAACTGTGGCTCTCCACTCAACCCTGCCCGGGACCTGGGCCCAGGGCTCTTCACCTACTTGGCTGGCTGGGGCCCTGAAGTCTTCAGGTAGGGGATAGTCTCCCTTGGTACAGTCCTCCATTCACCTGTGTTAATAGCTTTGTCTGGGCTTCTCTACCCCCCTCCCCCCGTTTTGAAACAGGGTCTCACTATGTACCAGGCTGGCCTCCCTCAGAGATCCTCCTGCCTCCCACATGCTGAGACTAAAGGCATGTGCCACCATGCCCAGTCCAAGTTCTCTTCAACTAGTGTTCCTTCAACTGGCAAAGTCTCCCTTCCTTCATGGCTCTCCTGCTCCCCAACCCTTTCCATGGGGATAGCGGATTGAGAGGTGACCTTGGCATGTCATACTAGTTCTTGGGGCTTTAGTGACCCATCCAGAAAACAAGTCTATTCAGCTAGTTCCCCTAGAGGCTGGACAAAGCTCTGCTGGGGGTTCCCTCCTAAGTGCTTTCCATTAATGAAGGTGAGGTGACCCCATGCTCACTGTGGGACCTGCCTTACTATTCCCAGCTCATAGGGGAGGTGTGTCAGAGAGAAACACCTCTGACATCTCCTGTTTGTCCGATTGTCCTCCCATTGCAGTGCTGGTAATGGCTGGTGGTGGGTACCTGTGGTGGCTCCTATGATGGGGGCCACCCTCGGCACAGCCACATACCAGCTCCCGGTGGCTCTGCACCACCCTGAGGATCCAGAGCCCGTTCCAAAGGTGGCAGCGGCTCAGCTCAGGGCTTCAGTCTCGGGAACTCTGGCTCAGCTGGAGTGTAAGAGCACCACGAGCTGGCTGCTTGTGAGACAGATGTTCTCTGTGTTACTATGCCAGATTCCGAGACGCTTAGACTGGGGAGAACCAGAAGACTTGATCTGCTGCTCCGTTTTCAAGCTGGTCTTTGCACCCTGATGGCCTCTAGGCACACAGTTCCCTAAGTGGCCGTCAGGGGGTGTGTCACATCAGGGGGTGGGTGTGCTGGCTTCTAGAATCTTTTGTGTGTGTGTGTGTGGGGGGGGTACTACCATCCTTTGAGGGGTAGGGCCCAGGGGCTTCGAGAGAGAAGCTTGTTTTCCAGCGCTCTGACTCCCAGCTCCCTCACCCCCACCCCCGGCCTTTTTCCGTTTAAGACAAGTCTCCCTATGAAACGCTGTAACTTTCTATGTAGATCATACTGGCCTTGACTTCACACTCCACTGTAAGAGTACTGCGTGTGACCCGACAAGAATGATTTTTTTTTTTTAAATCAAACAAAAAAACAAACTCAACAAGAGCAATTTAAGCACTAGTCGGGAGTGGTGGAGCACTCGGATCTCTGAGATGTCCAGGCCGGGCAGAGATACAGAGTGGGACCCCGTCTCAAAATAACAAATAACAACAACACAAAAACACACCAAAACCACTTAAAGTTCTGCGGTACTAGGGATTGAATTCAAGGCCTGGGCAAGTACTCTTCCTCGGAGCTGTCTGTCTGTCTTCTAGCTGCCAGTCCAGACAAGGGCGCCTCCCCTGTACTCCAAAGACCGCAAGACGGTTCTTAGAGGTGTGTGTGTGTGTGTGTGTGTGTGTGTGAGAGAGAGAGAGAGAGAGAGAGAGAGAGAGAGAGAGAGAGAGAGAGACAGAGACACATAGAGAGACAGACAGGCAGACAGAGAGACTGTTCTTAGAAAGGTGTGCTCGCGCGCATCACCCAAGGGGCGTGGTAAGGGCAGAGCCATCTTCCCAGCGACTGACAACCAGGCAGAGAAACTGAGGCACAAAGCAACACCCAGGCAATGCGGGGCTGTGCCACTTAAGGAGGTGAAAGGCCAGGAGACGAGCCAGGGCGAGGAGGGAAGCGCGCTAAGGGGCTCCTTCACTGCCTCTCCCACGTCAGGCTCCTCCCCGCAGATGTTCTCTGGCTGAGACAGCAGCATTCTCTCGGTCTCAGGCTTCCAAAATAAAGAAACAGCATCCCGGCGCTCTCCAACCTCGCCGAAGGCCTGCGTGTCCGAGGCTGGAGCGTGGGACCCTCCCCTCAGCACCAAAATGGCGCACGCCGCGCCCCTCACTCCCCAAAGCCCCTCCCGCCCCCCGCCCGCGGCCGCCGCCGTCACTTCCGCCCCGCGGCCGAAACTGACACAAAGTAGCGGGCCGGGGCCCGGGTGGGGAGAAGCCGGGCCGCCGCTGGGGGGCGGGAGCCTGCGGGCAGCGGAGCCGAGCGCCCCCGCCCCAGCCCCCGGCATGGGCTGGACGGGGCCGCCGGGCGGAGCGCCGAGCGCCGCGCGCTGAGGTGAGGCGCCCGCCGCGGGCCGGGGGTGTGGACCCGGAGGGCCACGGGGCCACTGGGGGAGGCTGGGGCGAAGGCTTCCCCAGGATGGAGAGAGCCAGTCGCTGTGCGCACCCTGGGAAGATGGGGCGCGCCGAGAGTTGGGGTGCGAGGAGTTACCCTGGTCCCAGCCTTTAGGTGCCTGGAAAGGGAGTTTGGGGACGATCGGATTTGTCCCGCGAAGGTGGAGGGCTCTGTGCCCCAGGAAAACCAAGGGTGCCAGGGGTGTTCGCGTTGGCAGCTCAGAGCTGGGCAGTGGGTCCTGGATATTGTCCTTGGCAGCGAAGGAAAGTGGCCCCTGGCGTTCTTGTTTTCTCCTGCCTCGCCGACCTCTTCCTCGGGAGAGACTCTTGGTTGGGAAGGAGCTGAGGCCAGACTCAGAGGAGGAGCCCTTTTCCTTAGTGGAGCGTTGCCTCCTTCTCAGGGATGGCTATTTTTATCCCAGATGTGGCTGCAGAGGGGGCTGGGGTAGGGTGACGGGGCAAGGCGACGTGGCTGATGGGCCTACCCGGTTTAGAAAACCCAGGATATCCTGAGAGGGAGACCCTGTTGCCAGTGATTTCTGTTACTGTGTTTGTCCGCTTCGAGGATTGGGGCCAAACTTGTTTTCAGTCAGTCTCCCCAGGGTCTTAGAGGTAAAAGATCTTTCCTGACCGTGTTCAGTCTTGACTCTTGATGGTCAGCTAGTTCTACTGTTAACTCTTCCAAAGGAAGAAGACTCAGATCTTAGGGCTAACGACGCTTGGTAGCCTCCCACCGGGGTGGGGCTAGGTAGGAGCCAGTAATGCCCACCCTGCATCCTCTCCTTTAACCTCTGGCTTCGCTCCCCACCCTCCCATGACTCATGTCTCGATTGGGTGGAGACCCTGGCTGGGGCCCTGGAAGAGGCCTTGGCATCACCAAAATGCGATTGAGGTTTCCTTCCCGAGCCAAGGGGACAGCACCGTTGCTTGCCACGGTCGTGGAGAGTTAGGAGTGAAAAGGACGTATGCCTCTCGGGATTGTCTGCTCTGAGGTCAAGGAGGGAGTGTGTGTTAGTGAAGTGAGAATTGGTGTGGGTGACTGGGCTGGGACCAGAGTCAGTAATTACAGAGATTGGGCAGACAGGCAATTAGTAGCTCGTGGGGCTGAAAGGAGGGGGAAGGTTTTCCATCTAAAGGAAGGGTTTCCTTGGCCAGGACTTGCACCTTTTTAGGAGAAAGGGTGGAAAGGAAACAGAGGCCTCTTGAGCTGTATCCAGTGTCATACTGGCTGGACTAGACCTGGGGTGGGAGAGAAAGTGGACTCTTCAGCAGGCTTGGGAAGACCTCTCTGATGGTCCCAATCGCTAGGAAGTGGTTTGGGGACTGTCTGCAGGAAGTGGTGGCCATGCCTCTGATACGAACCCCCCTGGGGAGGAGGTGCTAATGGGAGTCCCAGTAATGAGAGTGGGGGCGGGGAAATTATGAACTTTCTAGAAGGGTGGGACGTGCCCACCCTGTTTCCTGATGCTCTGCCAGGTGTTTCCTGGCTCGTGTTATCTCCACCCAACCTGCTGGGACAATTCTGTTTTCTAGTACAGGCCATATTCATCTTGACCAGGAGGGCACAGGGGACATCCATTGTTCCTGAGGGGATACCTTGGGGGCTGCGCGGCTCTTGTCAGTATCTGGTCTCTTCTAGGCCCCTCTCTGTAGGTTTGGTTTCTATTAATTCTGAGTTTCCTCATGTTATCCAGGACAGAGGGAAGAATACCCCCCCCCCCCACACACACACACTCAGGTATCCATATCAGCAGGAAGAGGGGAGTTTTAGTGGGGTTGGAGGCTGTGGGGGATGGCAGGGCCATAGCTAGAATAAATTCCAGAAGGGAATGCAGAATTCTCGACCACGTGTGTCTGTTGCTTTCTTGCAGGGTCTCCCATGGGATTGCTGGAACCTTGCTGGGTGAGATGGCACTGTGTGCAAAAAAGCGCCCCCCAGGTAAGAGCAGCAAGGAGTGGGTCTCTGGGACCATGATCAAAGTGGCTGTCATTATGACTTAGGGAGCCAAGGGAAGAGGGATTGCTAGTAAGGTTCTGAAGGGGGGCGCGGTTAAGGCTGCCAGGTATGGGGGGCGGTAGCCTGAGAAACCGAATTCCTCCTTTCATCCTTGGCTGGAACTCAGCCGTGAGTGAGAAGCACCTGCAGATTCTACTCTTTGGTCTGGGCTCTTGGGCTCTGGCCTCCTTTGCCTACCCACCGGAGTCCTCCTCAGTTTCCCGCGGAAGGAGGGGGGTGTGGGATGAAAGCCGTTGCCCTGGACAACGCGGGCGGTTCTCTCTCTCGCATTGGCTGGGGGAGGGGGCGGGGCCGCGCACTGGCTTTCGCCTACGCGGCACTGGCAGACTTCAGCTCTGCAGTGGGAGCAGGTGGGGCGGAGCCTGGGGCGTGGGCACCATTCCGGCCACCCAAAGCTCCACCTCCCGCCTCTGTCCTGGGATTCGGGAGTGGAGCTCCTGCAGAGCTGGTGGTCCCAGGCGCAGGTGGCCGCGAGGATGGTTTGGGCTGCTGCGGGTGGCATGCGCGCCCAGCGGCTGGGGCTCCCCTCTGCGTGGCCGCAGCTCTTGCGCCTCCCCGGGGGACCGCCTATGCCCCATAAGCGCCGCTGAGGCCAACGACAGACAGTGCACCTTCTTAAAACGGGATCATGACGGTCCCCAAGGAGATGCCTGAGAAGTGGGCCCGGACCGGGGCGCCTCCATCTTGGAGTCAGAAGAAGCCCTCTTGGGGGACAGGTAAAGGGAGGCAGTGTCTGGCAGCTCTCACATCTGTGATTTCCCTCCTCTGACCTCCGCATTCCCTTGTCCTCCACCTCCCTTCCTCCGTTGGCCCTTTGGGATCCTCCTTCTTCCTTTGCATGGCCCTTGGCGATTAGAGTCTCAGTAGAAAGGGGACCCTCTGAGAGAAGTTTCTGGTTTTCAAATGGCTAGTTTGTCTGGTGATTCTGTGGCCTGGGGTTTGCTGTTGCATTGTGCTTGTTGGGGGAAGAGGTCTGGAATATTACCTTGGATTCTCGGTCAGATAGATACAGGGTGGCAGGCTTACTACTCCCTTTTAGGTCTGAGGAGGGAACCCCACATAGGACATCTCTTATTCTTGGCACTGAAATTGGCACCCGCAGCCTGGGTCTTCAGGGTTTCCGTTAGGTGTAACTAAATAAGGGTCGGTAACAGTGACATTTCCTTTTAAGAAAAATATCTGAAAATGGTTGAGAAAGATTGCAGTTGCCTCTCCTCTGTTCTGCTCAGTCCGCATGACCCACATCTCTGACACACACACCCCCACACTTGAAGATGCGCTTTGCAATAGATGATGTCATTGTCCACCAGTCAGAAACTGCTCACGGTGACATGTGACCGGAGGCTCCTTTAGATAAAATGCACGTGGGCCTGGGATGCTGCCGCAGAGCAGTTCCAGGGCACTGTGACCCTCTGTCTTGGCCCCACCCACCGTGCTCCTCCCCTGCTTCGGGTGAGGACAGTGCCAGGAGCAGGTTTGCAGTAGTCTCCACATGGGAGGGAACTTCGCCCCTCAGCCCACACCTTGACCATGATGATGGATGTGTTATAAACAAGAGCAGAGGGACCTGGGCATGCGTGGCGGGGGGGGGGGGGGGGGGGGGGGGGGTGTACACACACACACTACTCGACTGAGTGGAAGGTTTTGGCAGTTGGCAGGAACAGAGACTTGTCCGGCACTGTGATAGTAGCACAAGGATGGCTGAGGAGGACCGCGGCCAGCCTCATGCCACAGTGAGACTTTGTCTCTAGAGGGGAAGTGGGGGAGCAGCATGCAGCTGTTGACAAAACTGTGGACTAGAGCAAAGAGTCTAGTGATACCAAAGCTGTATTCTGGGGAGAGAAGCGTCGCTCAGTGGAACCCTCACAAAGGTTGAGACGGCCTTACATCGTTCTGACCGCAGCCTTGTTCTGTTGCAGAAGAAGAGCGGAGGGCGCGGGCTAATGACCGAGAATACAATGAGAAGTTCCAGTATGCGGTAAGCGCTCCCTCTTTCAGAGCTGGGCAAGAAGAGTATCGGGAGCTGAGGCCGAGGGAAGGGGACTTGGGCGAGGCAGGGAAACAGCTTTGGCCAATTTCCATCTGCTGGGCTAAAGTTTCCAGCTCTCGCTGAAGCAAAATACATTGGCCTTGGAGAGACTTTTCCTTTCCTCCTCCTCTTCCCTGTGCCACACCTGGGGTGTTGGCAGGGGAGTGTGTGCAGAAGGTTTGGGAAGTACAAAGAAGGAAGAGGCAGCCCCAGCCTGACTAGGTTGGGATGAAGGGTGCCCCCCTCATTTTCTCCCCTTCTACTGCCATAGAGTAACTGCATCAAGACCTCCAAGTACAACATCCTCACCTTCCTGCCTGTCAACCTCTTTGAGCAGTTCCAGGAGGTTGCCAACACCTACTTCCTGTTCCTTCTCATTCTGCAGGTAAGTGACCTGTCTTACATCTTCTGTCACTCACAAAACTGAGTTAAGCCAAAGAAGAGGTGGGATCAGGGGAAGAATCCCTGGACTGGGACTTCAACACAGCGCGCCTCTCTTTTCAGTTGATCCCCCAGATCTCGTCCCTGTCCTGGTTCACCACCATTGTGCCTTTGGTTCTCGTCCTCACCATTACAGCTGTTAAAGATGCCACTGATGACTACGTGAGTTGTCACCCCCACCCCAGCTGCCTTTAGGGAGAGTTCCCAGGATGCTCTGAGCTCCTCTGATCTAGTTCCAGGTGGGGGGAGAGGGAAGGTGTCTCACTTTTCTCAGTTCTCTTCCAGTTCCGCCACAAGAGTGATAACCAGGTGAATAACCGGGATTCTCAGGTGCTGATCAATGGCGTGTGAGTGGCTGTTGGCGCCCAGGGCTCCGGGGAGGAAGGAGGTTTCCATGGAAACCTTGGTAGTGACTGATGGCCTCTGCTGTCTTCTCTTTGCTGTAGCCTCCAG